ACACAGTGTGGAGCTGGAGGAGCACAGTGGACCAGGCAGCATCACAGGAGCAGGAGGATGTTTTGGACCGGGACTCTTCTTCAGGAAAACTTTCCTCCTCCTCTGATGCTGCCTGGTCCACTGTGCTCCTCCAGCTCCACACTGTGTTATCTCTTCCCATGTAATGTTTTGTTGACTGCAACATCGGCAGTTCTTACTAACTCATTAGATGGGAAGGGGTTGTTCAGACTCTGAAGTTGTTGAACTCAATGTTGAGTCATACAGCACTGAAATAGCCCCTTCGGCCAACCAGTCCTTACCGACTATAATCCCCAAAGAGTCCTGAAGGTTGTAAAGTGCCGAAGTGCAGGATGAGGAGATCTTCCTCAGGCTGGAACAGGGCTTCGCTGGAATGGGTCCAGGACAGAAAAGGTTAGCTTGAGGGCAAACTCTGCCAATCCCTGTCACCTCCATCAACCTGATCCCAGATCCCTGGCTTTTCCCCCATTGTCATTGCTCCACCACTGGCGGCCTGGAGCCCGAAGTTTTGGAATTCTGTCTCCAGGTGGGATTTTGAACTCCTGTCCATTAGAGCCCTGTCTTCCCACCCCCTCACGACCAGGCCGATCTCTCTCACCACCCCAATCCATCATTCCCACCCCCCGTCCCCCCCAGATCTTACTAACCCTCTGCCTTTGTGTTTTCACAGGGAAGGCCAGTCCCTCCATGTCAGAGAAAGGTCCCAGCAGAAACACCACAAAGAGCAAGGAGCAGTGTGTGCTGTCATGAGGACCTGGGTCGAAGGTTTGGGGAGTGCGGGAAGGGGTGGGGGAGGCACGAGGGATTTGTGGTGTCGGCTGGGTGAGTTAATTCCAGGTTGATGTTTGTACCCAGCCTGTTAGTGCTTTGTTCCTGTCATCGTGATGTCAAGAGTGAGCCCCCAGTGGATTGAGGTTACAGAGGTTGGGGGGCGGGGGGGAGGAAGGAGGGGGCGAGTGTGGGGAGGAGAGAGTGTTCAGCATCTTGCTGCCTCCTGCTGGGTAACCCCTGCAGTGACGGAGCCAATCACCCCTGTTTTTCCCCACGTGCTTCTTCTTGAGGAACCCCATGGTCCTGAGCCTCACAGAGTAGAAAGATCCCAGGAGTGACCAGTGTTGACATTGGGTTGCATTGCCCTGGTTTCGAGGGGTGGTGGGGTGGGGGGGGGGGGGGGGGGGGGGGGGGGGGGGGG